TTTGGGCTAATGTGTAAGATTTGGAAATCCCAAATCCGACATCTAAATTGTAATCCGAAAATTCAAGTTCTGATATACAGATTATACTATTATTCTATGATCGGTAGAGTATCAAACAGAAAAAAACAATTTTCTGGGTAAAAGATATGATTATTTGATTAAATGATGAGCAAAAGAGTTGGTGATGTTATTTATTATTTATGTCTCAGTCTCACCAATTTCTGTCATTTTTCCTTTAAAAACACATGAATTCAGAATGATGGGATATACACACCATCAACTACAAAAACAGCAAAATGCATATGGGATAGTGCCCTTTTTTTTGGGCTTCTTTCAATCACACCATGAACATCAACTATAAGTAAAATTACACTCTCATTTTCACTTTCAAAAAATTGTTAATTAAAAAAAATTATTTTATTTTTAATGAAATTTTTTTATAAGAAAACAGTCTTTAGCAATAATAATTATGCACAGAAACAAAACGTGCTAAAATTTTATTTGATAATAGTTAATTGTCATTAGATCTAATACTGTTTTAAGTTTTAGAGGTATCACACCCCTTTTCTTTTCTTTTCTTTTTTTTTATGTAGAAACCATTTTTTTTTTCAAATTAAGTGACAATATTGAAAAGAAATTATTTAATTTAATTTTTAGATTGAAGTTGTCACTTGGAATTGAGTTATTATGTTTCGATCATCATCTTTTTAAATTCCTAATAAAAAAGAGATGAGTATTTGTTTTGTTTGTGGGTAAGAAATTATGTTGATCGAAACAAAGATATGAGGCACCCTTTAATCATGTGATTCTAGCACAACCACTTTTATCAACTTATACTATCTTAAGTTATTTTTTGGACGGATTGTTACATGCATGGTACAACTTGTCACATATTTTATTGTCGAAATTTTATTGGTCTCAATCTAGATGCATAAAATGCATTCTGAATTTTGACATTTGAAGCATAAATGTCTTCTTCGCATCTCGCTTACTAGCTCTTACTTATTTTAAATTAATGAAAGTTAATTATATATTTTTGGACAAGATGTATTTCTCCATCATTGAGTTTCTTTTAGTTATTTTAAAAAAATATATGCAACCTCATTTTTAATTGAAACAAATATTTTAACGTGCCTAAAATTAAAGTTCATCCAATGTTAAAATCAAATATTTGTTTCATATAACAAAAATCAAATAACCTAAATAATTCTAAATTTCTAGGACACAATATATTTTGAATCATTTTATGTATTTTAACTTATTTACTCTTAAAATTAACGTTAAAATTAAGCATCCACATATTGAAATGTCTTAATAATCCAACAAAATAATAAAATAATTGCTAAAATAATCTTATTTTTGTTTTTAAATAAAAGCAAAAATAACTTTTTGTACATGATAATCCTTACTTTATTATTATTGGCATATAAATCAAAGACGCGAACGCCACCATGAGCGATTCATTTTTAAGAGAGAAAATGAATAAAAATAAATAAATAAATAAATAAAACTAATCATTCATTAGTGTTATCCTCATTCATTAAATAGAGATACAAAGTAATTCAATAATCATTTCAAACAAAAATATAGGACATCAAATTGATCATATGATTACATCAAATTTCATATCTAAGCTACAGACAGAGGCGGACCTATAGTATGTCGAGGGGATTCACCCAAATCTCCTCGGCAAAAAATTACGTTATATATTTAAGAATTTTTGAGTTTATATATCAATTTTGAACATTCTGAATATAAGATTAGAGATTAACTTAGTGGTTTAGGGGTTCAAATCACTACTCTTTTTTTTAAACCCCTTGATGAAAATAAAAATTCGCTAATGATAAAAAAGATATAATAAAATTTAACCTCAAATTAAAAAATAATACCGTAAAATATTAACTTAAGTTCGATCATTACACCTTTGAATATATTTTTGTAAATATTTTTCTTTTGGGTAGGTTATGAGGGATATATATTGGGTTGGTATGGAAAATAATGAAAAAGAAGGAAAAGGTGTGAATGTCTTAGTGATTTGTTTATTGAAATAAGAATAAAATAATATGTGAGCATCTTTTTTTTTTCAGCGTGAGTTTTGATTCTATTTTTTTTATTATTATTATTATTTTTGGAATTTGGGTTATGTATAGTATATGAGTCTGTTTGGCTCAGCTTAAAAGCTGGTCGAATTGACTTAGGGCTAGTTTGGATGGGCTTAATAAAAACAGCTTTAAAAAAGTACTTTTGAAAGTGCTGAAACTTATTTTTAAAATAAGCAGTTATGCGTTTGGATAAAAGTGCTGAAGTTGTTATGCCAAACGTGAAAAGGGAAAAATAGAAGAAAGAGATGTTACGGTTATATGGGTAATTTGAAGATTGTATAAAAATATTAAAGGAAAAAACATAAAAATGTGGTCAACTTAAAACAGCTTATAAGCTAAAAAAAAAAAAAAGCACCCCTACCCCAGCTTTTAACTTTGGCTTAAAATAAGTTTTTTTAACTTAAAATAAGTTATTTTGAGTATTGTCAAACAGTTAAATAAGTCAAAAATCAGCTTTTAAGTCAGTTTGACCAGCTTTTAAGCTGAGCCAAACAGGCTCTTAAAAGCTGCTTTTAACTTATTTAGCTGTTTGTCAATACTCAAAATAACTTATTTTAAGTTCAAAAAAAACTTATTTTAAGCCAAAAATAAAAAAACTGGATTAGAGATGTTTTTTTTTTAGCTTATAAGCTGTTTTAAGTTGACCACATTTTTATCTTTTTTTGTCCTTAATATTTTTATACAATTTCCAAAATTACCCACATAACCCTAACATCTCTTTCTTCCATTTTTTCCTTTTCACGTTTGCATAGCAATTTCAGCACTTTTATCCAAACAGATAACTGCTTATTTTAAAATAAGTTTCAACATTTTTTAAAATATTTTTTTAAAGCTATTTTTATTAAGTTCATCCAAACGGACCCATGTATGATGAGTGGCGTGTAAGTGGGGGTAAGTGTGTAGGTGGAGGAAAACGAGGGTAGGAAAAATGGGTGTATCGGTAGTTTAGGTTAGTGAGTTTTTTAATGAATATATATATATATATATATATATATATAATAAGTTAATTAGCTAACTATTTAAACTAATAAAAGTATAAGAAATTTAAATGGTTAAAAATAAGAAATTATTGATTTATTTATTAAATTTAAATATTAGAAAAACGTATTTTTTAAAATAAATTGAAAATAAAACTTACCTTTAATGTGACTCAATTTTTGTTGTTTTAAAATCTTTTTAAAAAATAAGATAAAACTCAAAATATTTAATTTAGGCTTAAAACAAATATTAAACACTATAAATGGTGTAAATCAACTAGTTCGATAAATCATTTATCTACGAGAGACATTTTCAAAGACTGCTAAAATGTGATTGTCCTCAGTTGTTTTTTTAAAAAAAAACTTAACAGTGTTAATTAATCCTGACTGAAAATTATTTAAATGTAATGAGATATTATATTTTAAAATATAAATGAGGATAAAATAATCTAAAATTATATATTTTAATTAATATTTTCTTAAAAAAACGTATTAAGTAAAAGTAGAGATAATTTGAGACTAAGCCCCGGATAGTAAGTAGTAAAATTTAAGTTTAATGAATACGTGGATACCACAATTATGATTTTATATTGTTTTATATATGTTTGAGACTTGAGAAATCTGAAATAAGAATTTACAAAAGATATTTGTAGTAGTGCGGGAAAAAAAAAATTCCACTCCCCCAAACAAAATTAAAAAAGGACCACGCAATTAGTTTTAAAATATTGTGTATCATCTTCTCTACTAACATTATTAGCATCTCTAAGACATAATTATTACAATGTCAAACTTAGAACATTAATATTAAAAACAACTTGTCTACGTCGTTATTAGATCAACGAGGATTTATTCTTCCCTCGATATAAACTAATATTATTGCCCTTTTGCATTTCTTAATAATTCATTAAACAATGGTTTACTGATCATACTTAGTGGGATACACATGATGATTAATATTGTGCAGGAAACTAATAAGATCCCATTTTGAATTGTTCAATTAAAAAGTTAATTTATTTTTTTTCTTGTGTTAGAATAATTCTTAAATTAAAGAGTATTTTTAAATCAAAATATAAATTTAATTATTATTGCGACTCTGTTGCTTGCAATCCTACTCTTTCTTTATACTATACGTTGTTACTTGTTTCTATCAATTTTCAGTAAGATAAACAAATCGAATTTAATTTTAAGAAGTATGTATAGAAAAGGATTTTATTAAATAAACTTGCAAACTAATGAAAATGACTTCAAATATTTATATGACATAGGAAAGATTGTCAATATTTTTTGTCTTGTGACGTGTATTTATTATCTTTTTGTTCTACAATATCCCAAAAATAGACTCTATAATAAGGAGTCTCGTAAGTCGTAATCAAGTGTTAACTGATTTTTATTTCTAAAAGAAGGCTAATAATGAAATTTAAGACAAAAAACACATATCTAAGTTAAAAAGAATATTTTCCAAATTATATATTTATTCACGTTTACTTACCAAACTCCACCTCCACCGAAGAGCTAACGTTTACTTTATTAAAATTCATAGATGAACCATTCATATTTTCATTATTGTACCAAAATTATTACTGAGATTATTATTTTCAATAATCATTTTTTATAAAGTATGGAAGAACTTTATCAAATTAATTTTTAGAATAAATTCTTAAGTTATTATATACAACTAAAAATTACTCAATTTTCTATAAGCTTTACTGAATAGGTCAAATAAATAAAACATCGATTTGGTCGACTTTATATGTTCACATATTGATGGTTAATGATATGAATGGACTTTTTATAAGGCTTAGACAATCCTCCTCAATTTGAATTAGCTTTTGGGGCGTGAGTTATGCCTAAGATCTAAATTTCACATGGTATCAGAGCGCAAAGCCCGTCTGAAATGAGTGGATTCCTTATAAGGCCTGGACAATCCTCCATATCGATGGTTAATGAGATGAATGGACTCCTTATGAGGCTTGGACAATCTGTTTTATCCTTCCTTCCTTCCTTCTATTATAAGTACTAAATACAAACTCCCAAATTCAACACCCACATTAAAAAAAAAAATGTCTTCAGTTTCCTCCAAATATCCGGCCATTGCTAGCTCTTCAGACAATGAATCTTGTAAACCACTTCTTCAAGTTCGAGAAATCCCAGGTGACTATGGTTTCCCATTCTTCGGAGCTATTAAAGATAGATATGATTATTACTACAGCCTCGGAGCAGACGAATTCTTCCGTACGAAATCCCTAAAGTATAATTCTACTATATTCAGAACGAACATGCCACCAGGTCCATTTATTGCTAAAGATCCCAAAGTCATTGTTCTTCTCGATGCTATAAGTTTTCCTATTCTTTTCGACTGTTCAAAAGTCGAAAAGAAGAATGTTCTTGATGGCACCTACATGCCATCAACTGATTTCTTCGGTGGATATCGTCCTTGTGCATTTCTCGATCCATCTGAACCAAGTCATGCAACACATAAAGGGTTTTATTTATCTATAATCTCAAAACTGCATACTCAATTTATTCCTATATTTGAAAATTCTGTTTCTCTACTGTTTCAAAATCTTGAAATTCAAATATCTAAAGATGGAAAAGCTAATTTCAACGACATTAGTGATGCAATGTCGTTTGATTTCGTTTTTCGTTTGTTGTGTAACAACACAAATCCCCTTGACACAAAACTTGGCACTACTGGTCCAAAATGTTTTGATTTATGGATGTTGCCTCAATTGGCTCCATTGGTCACTCTTGGTCTAAAATTTGTCCCCAATTTTTTGGAAGATTTAATGTTGCATACTTTCCAATTGCCATTTTTTATAATTAAATCGAAATACCAGAAGCTTTACGATGCTTTTAACGAGCATGCTGGAAGTACACTTGATGATGCTGAGAAGAGTGGGATCAAAAGAGATGAAGCTTGCCACAACTTAGTTTTTCTTGCAGGTATGCCAAATTTACAGGGTGGAGTTCTTGATTTAGCTAGATCTCAGTTAAATTATATTTATAGTTTCAATTCTTGAAAATTTATGGGATTTTGATTTTGTATGATAGAGGTTGAGTTACATTTTGACCTTACATTTAGAGCTATTAATATAGGCTAGTCCATTCCATCCGAACTAATTCATACATGCTTTGACATTTCATTTATAGGTTTCAATGCTTATGGTGGAATGAAAATTCTGTTTCCGTCACTGATGAAGTGGGTGGCAAGTGGAGGAAAGAGTTTACACACTCCTCTAGCAAACGAAATCAGGACGATCATCAAGGAAGAAGGTGGGTCCATTACTCTATCAGCAATCAACAAGATGAGTTTGGTTAAATCAACGGTGTATGAAGTGTTGAGAATTGAACCACCCATTCCGTTCCAGTACGGTAAGGCTAAAGAAGATATCATGGTCCAAAGTCATGATTCAAATTTTTTGATTAAAAAAGGTGAAATGATATTTGGATATCAAACATTTGCAACAAAAGATGCAAAGATATTTGAAAATCCAGAAGAGTTTATTGCAGAGAGATTTATGGGTAGTGAAGGAGAAAAATTGTTAAAATATGTTTATTGGTCAAATGCAAGAGAAACTGATAGTCCAACGGTCGATAACAAACAATGTGCAGGAAGAGATCTGGCTGTGCTGTTGTGCAGGTTAATATTTTCTCGAGTTTAACTTATATATACCGACACGATATTAAATGGTTTATTGTTTAACTTTAATAAATCATGTATACATGCAGGTTGTTGTTGGTGGAATTTTTCATGCGTTACGACACATTTACTGTGGAGTCAAGTAAATACTTGGCTGGACCATTAATAACTTTCAAGACATTGGAGAAAAAGGCGATTTGAATTGATTAATCTTCACTTAGCCAAGGTGTGGTTATTCTGAACGTTTGTTGGTGTATTACTGATGAATTTAGTGGATGTAATAATTAATTATATCTTTTTATTGCTGAATTGATTCCAATAATTATTAACCAACACCTTTATATATTTCATATATATAAATCTACTCACAATATTCACATGTTGGAAAACATTCAGGCTAAAAAAACTTTAATCTTCATGATTCATGAAAACAGTAAAAGTCGTAAGAAAAAAAAAGTTAATGTCGTACAACTTCAACCCAAATGATTGAAAATTTGGAATACAACTTCCTAGATATCAAAATCTTTTGGAAATCTACTTTAATGCCTATTTCAGATACCACATATCAAACATGTCTGATAAAGTTACTTTCTCTTTAAATAATAGTTATTCGCTATATTATTTGAGATGTTCAATAATATTTGTTCATTTTATAAAATCAATAGATAATTTTTTACATAACATTAATTATATTTAATTTTTCAAGACATTATAGTTATTATATTCAAAAAGCGATATAATAAAATTATCATTCTATATATATAATTTTTAAAAAAAGAGTGCAAAGCCAATAGTGGACAAATATTGTTGGACATAGAAATATTTATTTCAAATAAAACACTCATTTCGATAACTAAACATATACTCTCTCGATTCATTTTTATTTGTCACTTATTTTTAAAATAGATTTTTATTTTTTACTTACACTTTTGACATACAAAGAAAAGAATAATAAATTTTTCCTATGTTTTAACGTCAATATTAAATACTCATCTTTCAAATCATTTTTTAAGAAATTATTTCTTAGGAATTGTTTGATAAAATACATATATCTGTAATTATTTTCTTATAAATATGTCAAGTTAAACTTAAATTGTGACGAATAAAAATAAATGGAGGGAATAATTGATGTTCTTTTGAGTGTATGTAACAACTCATAGTTTTTCCAGTACATGTCCGAATTGTAAACACTGATGAATCTGTGTGTTATTTGAGGAATAAGTTGCCAATAGGTAAGTAAGCATATAAAACGAACCATGATATTAAGTCATTATATTTGAAGTGTTGAATCAAAATTTTAAGCTAAAGCTAAGGAAGGCTTAAAAGAAAAGTTCATGTGTTAGAGACTTTTAAATACCTAATAAAATGAAAAGTATGAAAGTTTTTATTTTAGAAAAAAAAAATTGTATGTTCATTTAGCTCTAAATAATACAGTGGGGATCTTTTTGAAATATTTAAAATGAATAAAATTTAGCTAAAGGGTTCAAAGTAAAAATTGAGGCAAAAACTTTAAAAAAATTATCGACAGATTATGTTATAAAAACTCGTTAGACTTACATTAACATAGTAGGAAACGACATACATTTGAAAGATACACCAAATATTGACATTATTTAGACAATTTATTCTAATAAAATAATATAATCACCAAAAAGGTGAAACACGTGCATTTCAATATAAATAAAATAAAAGCAGGAAAGTGACAAAACAACGTGAAATTGACTATTCCTATTCCACTTGACGACTAATAGGGTTCTTATTCATCATTAATCTTTAGTGCTACTTGTAAGTATTTTGGATCGTGGAATTAGTCCACCTTTAAAATGCATCACCAAACATTCATCAAGAAATTCATGGTTATTCATATATTATATATTATGATGAATAATACTATAAGTTTATTTATTTTTTAACTCGTTTTAAAATAATTGAATAATTATTCTATTCAAAAATAAGTTAATTAGAAATTTAGACTCATTTTTCCATCTTTAATTATAAGTGTCAAAGAAAATGTATAGTCTTGAGAGTATGAAAATTTTCACGTTTAAATTGTCTGTTATTTAGTTTTAAATATATAATCTTATTGTTTAAGTAGTTTAATTCTTGCAAAAGAAGTTCATACGGCTACTTTTTTCTTTGTTCAGGCATATTTTTGTAAATATTTATATTAGTTCGAATTTTCATATATATTGAATTTTCGCATATTATGTTGTAATTTCACTTATAAGATAATAACCAATTCAATATACTCTGTTGGAGTGTTTTTTTTCCTTCATATTTTAGCCCAGTGGTATTACTCAGATTTTATTTTCGTGCTCACAATATAAATGTTTGAATACAACTCAGAATTTTACCTTTTTCTTTTAAAGTTTTTTCATTTTATTCGAAAATTAACTTGAAATTGCATTTAGAATTTGAAAAACACTCAAAACTTTGTTCCACCTTCTTCATATATAATTTGTCCTTTCGATAAAAAAATATTAATTTTTCTCATTCACATATTTTATAAAGGCTTAAGTCATTAACGCTTACTTAAAATTGTCTGCATAATTTATTTAGACAATCCAATCAACACTATTATTTATTAAACACCTAAAATATATAAAATATTTACCTGCTAAACACAAAATATGGGTGTGACAATAAATATGAAACTCACATATTTTAAGCCAGTAAACAGATCCAAATAATATATTTTTTATTATCAAGAAACTTGGATCTATTTTCTTTTATTAACACTTACAATACTAACTTTTTAAATTTAAAAATGATTTCTTGATCAGCAAAAGAAAGTAATAGTCTTCCTCTCCATTTTTTTTGGGTCAAACTTTCTGCACTCCTTTTCCTACATCTTCTTCCGCCATTTTTCGTTCTCAAACTTCTGTATTTTTTTTAATTCTTTATATTAAGAAAATTAAATCTACGGATTAATTTTGTAAGAAGAATGAAGAGTTGGCCGACATTCGTCTGTTTTTTTATTTCCGGTTATTTTAAGCAAATTTTACTACTTAAATTAAAATATAAATTTATTAAAGTAATATTAGAGAATTCTACGAAAATAACTTGATACTTTCAATTTCTCTTCGCCCTCGTTCACTAACTTAATTTATTTTTCACAAACATCACTCCGCTAAGCCACGCGTACATCATAATATTTCATTATTTATATTATGTTTGATCCCATTGTTTATACTAGGGGTGTCAAATGGACAGGTTGAGTTGAAATTGAACATATTAAAATGGATTGTGATAGAAGTCGAATTGGATCTTGACCCGCTAAAGTTTACTTTGAGCTCATATGGGTTGGGCTTAAAATAGATTGGATTTTGACCCGCCCAATTTGAATCGATTAATCTCAATAATTTAATATATTAATATTTAACTTTTATAATCACGATTTAAATTTTAATTCGAATTTTTTAATTTTTTTAAAAATAACAAATAGATAAATAAACCCTAAAAAATGCTAAGCAGATACTAATAATTTATACCTCAAATATAGAAACGTATCTTAACAAAAAAAATTTTAAAACAGATTGAAATTGAAGATTAAATTGGGTTCAATTGAGGATTATATTCAAATGGATTATGCTTGAATAGGTTGAGACTAAACCAAATTCAAATTATCTTGAGTCCAACCCTTAAAATTCTGAACACATTAAACAGATTATCTATGTTTGAATTCACTTTTGACACCGATTATTTATCCTAAGAAAAAATTGGATCTTGCATTGAATGAGCTGAAAGCGGAGGACAGTGGTGAGCCATGGAAAGAAAAAGACCAAAGGGTTAGTTGGGCTGGGGACAATTTCTTTCTTTCTTTCTTTCAGTTTGATTAACATTTTAAATTATTAATGGTAAGATTTTATTTTTTATTTCTTAAAATTGAAAATTTATTTTTTATGATTAGATTGGATCCACATGACACATGACATAGATTAATTTTAGACCTTTTGAATCACGCGCATATTATTTTTAAAGTTAATTTTTGTTTTGTATTTAATAGATATATATATTTATTAATATTAAAGTATTTAATACTTTCTTCTTTCGAAATTATTTGTCATGTTGCGCTTTTTGATAGTCAATTTGACTAATTTGCAAAGTTAAATTACATCACATTAATTTAATATTTTAAACAAAAAAAATAGATATTCTAAAATTATGTGAAAAGTACTATAAATTACAATTGTTTGCATATTAATATGATAAAAAAAATATATTTTAAAATGTTAGTCAAAATTTTTATAATTTAATCTGAAAATAAAAATAATGACAAACAATACCAAATAGAGAGAATAACTACTAATCTTATTTAAGATGTCTAAATGAACAAAGCAGACAACTTTAAACGATGATAAATAACTTTAGCCTTTTATAAAAGGGAGTTAGCATGCCTACCTCATTTAAATATAAGCTGGTAATTTTATGTATTTGACTACTTTAATGATTTGTAGATATGTTTATTAAATAGGTGTAGAAAAATTTGGATTATTCTTGAGGAATAAAAAAGTTAAAGATTTTATTCTCTTTTCATGTCATTCACTTCAATATTAAGAAGATATTTAAATGTCTGTATAATTTAAATGCTAAATTATTTGACTAAATTTGAGAGAGATTTTATATGTTTTTTTCTTAAAATAATATATAATAATTGACAGAATTATTTTATCACATTATCTTTTCTTTATATTAACTACCAAAATTAAAATGAGAGGCTAGGATCGTTTTTATTGATACTTCCACCACATTCTTCTATTTATATATATTATTATATTCTTAAATTAGACAACATTTTGGATACCTAAGAAAATTATTATCAACCGTAAATACATGGATCGTTTATTAATCATCCTTCAATCTTTTTTATTTATTTCAATATTGTATCTGTTTTTTCTTCATAAAAGTGGATTTTATTTTGGTATTCATATGTAAATTTGTGAACGACGAATCAATTTAGAAAATTCAGAAATTCCATACTTTTTGCTTATGTTTTCTTTATAAATAGTTTTAAATATAAATAAAGTTGAAGAACTATTTATTAATACATAGCAATACTTTAATTTTTTTAGCGTAAGAATATCAATTTTTGAAGAAATAATAAAGAATAAATGATCTTGACCTCTCATATTTTTATTTACGTGTGGCCTTCGTCTACTACACCATTGAGAAGTAATTTACAAAATAGTAATAGAGTGTATCCTTTCATGTTTAAGTATTTTAGAAATGTAACGTTTCTTCATCTTATTCATTCTCAAGTTAATTTCTCTATTTCAAAATTCTTGTTTTATTATTTTTTTTCTTAAAAGAAAGAAAGACAATATATATTGACAACTTCTGTTTATGTTGTGTAGTAATTGCGTAGTGTTTTTCTTGTGTTTGTATGTATATTTGAATATTTAGCTCGTTCTAGTAAGATTTCAATTTTTTAAAGAAAAACACGGTAAGTCTCTTGGCTTATTCATAGATATATATACTCTTCAAATACCAATGGTGATTATTTATACCCTTATATCCCACATGAAATATTTTTGCTAATTAAATTTTAATTAGCTCTTTTATTATCATTTATTTCTTTTTCATCATCTTATTTTCTCCTAAATTTGATTCTATAAAGTGCTTACATTCTTTTTCAAAATTCCTATTAATCTTGCACAAATACAATGTAAAAAGTTCCCATCAAATTTCAGCCTCATCTGCTTATTTATTATTTTTTAAAATGTTTTTTTTTTTTGTCAATTAGAGCAACAAGTTAATATTTAGGTCCAGATTTTAAAAGTTTGTTCGAGAAAAAAATAATTAAATTTTATTTTTACCACCTCTCTTTTTTTTCATCTCAAATTTAGCTCATATCTTTATCTCTAAGAATATAAAGAATTAAATTTAATTTCCCAAAAAATTTCCTATAAAAGCTATAAATGCAAAAAAAGTAATTTCATGGTGAAGTCATTTTCGATGATCCAGTATATTTATATATTTTTTAGAATATTAATAATATAATAATAAAACTAACAACACACGTCAAGTTTATAGTTATTTTCAATACTTTGCGTTGGATTGTTTCTCTTATTTTTAGAAAATGTCTTCCTTTTGCTCCAAATCTCCCGCCATTTCCAACTGTTCAAACGATGAATATTCTAATTCGAGTCTTCCAGTTGGAGAAATCCCAGGTGACTATGGTTTCCCATTCTTCGGAGCCATTAAAGATAGATATGACTATTTCTACAACCTCGGCACAGACGAATTCTTCCGTACAAAATCTCGAAAATATAATTCTACTGTATTCAAAACGAACATGCCACCAGGTCCATTCATCGCTAAAAATCCCAAAGTCATCGCTCTTCTTGATTCCAAAACATTTCCCATACTTTTCGACAATTCAAAAGTCGAAAAAAAGAACGTTCTTGATGGCACCTACATGCCATCAACTAATTTCTTCGGTGGATATCGTCCTTGTGCATTTCTCGATCCATCTGAACCAAAACATGCAAGACTTAAAGGGTTCTATTTATCTATAATCTCAAAATATCATACACAATCTATTCCTATATTTGAAACCTCTGTTTCTGCCCTGTTTCAAAATCTTGAAATTCAAATATCTAAAAATGGAAAAGCAAATTTCAACGACATTAGCGATGCAATGTCGTTTGATTTTGTTTTTCGTTTGTTGTGTGACAAGACAACAAGAAACGTTGGACCAAAATATTTTGATAAATGGATGTTGCCTCAGTTGGTTCCATTGGTTACTCTTGGTCTAAAATTTGTGCCTAATTTTATGGAAGATTTAATATTGCATACTTTTCCATTACCGTTTTGTCTAGTGAAATCGAATTACCAGAAGCTTTACGATGCTTTTAGCGAGCATGCTGGAAGTATACTGAGTGAAATTGAGAAGAGTGGGATCAAGAGAGATGAAGCTTGCCACAACTTAGTTTTTCTTTCAGGTATATCAAATAAATTAGGGAAAAGGATCAAAAATGCCGTTAAATTACGTGAAAGGAATAAAAATGTTCTCCGTTTTCAGTTTGGCTCAAAAATGACTCTAGAGTCATTACTTTGATTCAGAAATGTCCTTAAACCTACGTAAAAGGAACAGAAATGTCTCCCATTTATAATTTGTTGGTCCAAAAATATCCTTTTGAGCCAAAATATAAATGATAAGGACATTTTCATTCCTTTTACATAGTTTTAAGGATATTTTTAATGTTTTTCTCGATAAATAAATATGTAATTTGAGACAAAAATAAAAGCAACTTGGACAAAAAAAGAAGTGACTTGGACAAAAAGAAACGAGTGACTTAGACAAATCTTTTTTGTCAATAACCTCAGACCAATCAATCGAATATTGATTAATACGTAATCGATCGAACACTACTTGAAAACGGCTCTTCTGCAATTGAATTTTTTTGAATCCTTTTATTTGCGAGGAGCTGGATGAGAAGAAACTCTCACGTACGAATCTGTAGTAGAGATGGAATTCAGAACCAACCATCAACTATAACCTAAACTTAGACAAATTGAGTGAATTTATTTCAGGGTTCAACGCTTATGGTGGGATGAAAGTTGTGTTCCCATCACTGATCAAGTGGGTCGCCAGTGCAGGTAAGAGTTTACACACGCGGCTAGCAAATGAAATCAGGACGATCATCAAGGGAGAAGGTGGGTCCATCACTCTATCATCAGTCAACAAGATGAGTTTGGTTAAATCAACGGTGTATGAAGTATTGAGAATTGAACCTCCATTGCCGTTCCAGTACGGTAAGGCCAAACAAGATATCATGGTCCAAAGTCATGATTCAAATTTTTTGATTAAAAAAGGTGAAATGATTTTTGGATATCAAACATTTGCAACAAAAGATGCAAAGATATTTGAAAATCCAGAAGAGTTTATTGCAGAGAGATTTATGGGTAGTGAAGGAGAAAAATTGTTAAAATATGTTTATTGGTCAAATGCAAGAGAGACCGATGATCCAACGGTAGATAACAAACAAAGCCCCGCCAAAGATCTGGTTGTGCTGTTGTGCAGGTTAATAATCTTTTAATTTATCGCGTTTAGCTTATATATACTGGCATAATATTAATCATGTATACACGCAGGTTGTTGGTGGTGGAATTTTTCATGCGTTACGACAAATTTACTGTGGAGTCTAATAAATTCTTATTTGGATCATCAGTAACGTTCAAGACTCTGGACAAAAAAACGACATGAATTATTCGATATAAAATCAGGCAATTGATTTGTCCCATTCCCCGGTAGCATTAAGATCTTTTCTGTTGTTATTGCACGGAATCTAAATATAAAATGATGTTATAATTATTCTAAAGTTTGTAATTAATTATTAATGAGTGAAACTACTTAAATGAGCATAAACTCAAAATAATTACATGTTCATACCCAATTCAAAGTAATTTAACAAATGTTTATTCTCTCAAAATAAATTAAAAAATACAACATATATCATATTCATTAAGACTGATAATTTTTACCTAAATAATACTAAATCAGTATCATATATTATATTAATATCATTAGAACAGATAATTTCACCTAACTGATTCTAAATTTATATATATATTGCATTGATATTATTTAGTGGGAGTATGATTATAAAAGAAATATTTATTTATAACTGTTTTAATTTACAACATATTTGCTTAGTTTCCCCATATTTCAATTCGCCTAAAAAATTCAAATGGGCTAACAATAAGATAATTTCACCTAACTCTCTCTCTCTCTGTCTCTCTCTGTCTCTATATATTATTTAGTGGGAGTATATATATAAAAGTAATATTTGTTTATAACTCTTTTAATTTACAGCTTTTTGCTTAATTTCCCCATATTTCAAGTCGCCTAAAAAATTTAAATGGGCTAACAATAAGTCAAAAGATCAAGGGAAAATTGTATATAATAGCAAACTAATAACCTAAAATAAATGGAATAGCTAGGGTTTGATTTAACTGTGCTCCATAACAAACGTTAGCTAAAATTTGCCAGCGTCTCTCTCCCAGAAATCTCGCTCGCCACTCTCCATTCTCGCTCGCCTCTCTCGCTATATACAAAGAAGTGTATAATTTTGTTTCTGCTTTGTATAAAGCGAGAGAAAATTGTATATACACATGCAAAAATATATATTTTCGTGTTATACACTTAATTATACAATTTTACAAAACATTTTTACTTCAAATATTGCAGAAGAAAAAGGTCAACGAATTATACAATTGCGAATTATACAATTGCAGTGAAATACAATTTTCTCTAGCTTTATACAACAGAAGTGTATATATTGTGTTTCTGTTTTTGTATAAAGCGAGAGAAAAACGTATATCTTCTTGCTATACACTTAATATTGCAGACGAAATAGGCAGTGAATTATACAATTGTGCATTATACAATTGGGAGTGAAATAGGATAGCGAATTATACAATTGCAGCGAAATAGGCCAGCGAATTATACACTTGTATATGTATAGCGAATTATACAGTTTTATGTTTGCTATAAAGCGCAATTATTCAAAGTTTGATATAGCATACAAATATAAATTTTTTATTTGCTATATGAGAAAGTTGCCGAAGATCAAGAAGTAGCATTTAAATCTCCCAGGTTACGTTTATGTTTTTCTACTGAAAAATAATGTTGGAATGAATGATCACACATATATTTTTTGAACCCAATAGTTGTGTCTTTTAGCATGAATGTAGTTCACCAATACAATACTTTATGCATCAATCAATTACCCGTTCCCATTATTAGAATTAAACAAATAATACAATGGACGTGACAAGGCAGGTGAATTAGGCCCAATTTCATTCAATGAGAGGGATATTTCAAGAGTTGACCAAATTTAAAAATAAAATACATTATCAAAAATAGATAACGAATGAGTCATCATTGCATATGGATAAATTTTACTCTCTTTGCCCTGACGTGGCAATAATTAGAATCACAAAATTTTATCATCAATCCGGATATAATTAATCATTTATTTTAAAAAAAAGCGATATAATTAATAATATAGAATATTTATAAGCATATCCAAATTGTAATAGAGAAAAAAAGTCATATTAAATTAAAGATGAAATAAAGTCGAAGCTAGCAACAACAAGTGGCAAAGTTATTATTATTTTAGATGATTGGATACGTAACCTACCGGAGGAGAGTGATTCATTGGTTCCACGTGGCACCCAATGTGCATAAACTAACAAAACTGTCACACTCATTGCAGGCGATTATTCTTATAGTTCAAAGTATTTAAAATTTATAAATTTAATTTGATTGCCTTTGAATGTTGAACAAGTTTTGAGAAATAATTTGTAGAGAAGATGAAGAGTTATTGGAGAGAAGCATCAGTAGGCAGTGATATGATTGATTCAGATTTGAAGGAAATTGGGATTGCTGCTAAGAAGTTAGCTAATCATGCTATCATGCTTGGTGGAATTGGTTTTGGCACTTCTTTTCTCAAATGGATTGCTTCTTTTGCTGCTATGTATGGAATCGCGGCCCCCCTTTTTCTACTCATGAACTAGCTTTTAATGTTGAGTTACGAAGCACTTGTATTTTTACAGTTACTTGTTGATCTTGGATCGAACCAACTGGAGGAGCAACATACTCACAACTCTCCTAATTCCTTACATTTTCTTGAGTTTCCCTTCATTACTCTTTGGTTTGTTCAGGTAATTATATATTTTTATTGGATCGAATTCCCTTACATTTTTTGAACTAGTTTTGTTTTGCCTTAGTGTATATATACATTTATGTATGTTGGTGCTAAACCTACAGGGGAGATTTCGGAAAATGGCTGTCTTTGATTGCTGTTATAACGCGCCTATTTTTCCCAAAACACTTTCCAGGTTTAATATATATATATACACACCTTCTTATAGAAAGGCTTAGGCCATGGGACACCATTGTTAATTTTGAGAATTGCGCGTGCAGATTGGCTTGAAGCACCAGCAGCATTGGTCCTTCTGATGGTAGTATCTCCAAGTTTTTTGGCTGACACTATAAGGGACAACTGGATCGGTACGTTCATTTGCCTTGTAATTGGATGCTATCTGTTGCAAGAACACATTAGAGCATCTGGTGGATTCAGAAATTCTTTCACTAAAGCTCATGGAATTTCAAACACGATTGGAATCATCCTTCTTCTGGTATATCCAGTCTGGGCATTGATTCTCCACTTTCTATAAACAAACTAAATTCCATAAATCATGATTGCTATTTGTTTGGAGAAGATCTGAGTGTGATTGATTTTCTATCGTCTGGTAATTTTGTGAAAGATTGCTTGCTTGTTATGTGTTTATGTACCTAAAATTCATTTTTCCGTTTTACCTTGCTATTTTTGGATCTCTGTATTTTTCCCTCATAAAGTTTCAATCTCCAAGTGAATCAATAGAATTTTTCTTTGACTCTGAGCTTAATTCAAGATAGTTCATTTTCATAGCTTGGTAAATAAATGATGGAGTTCATATTTATGTATAAAATAAGGGAAAGGACTGGGACAGTGTATATATTTCTGGTCTTTCTGATGTATCAATTTATAAATGTAGATTATACGTAATGGGCACTCGATAATAGCATTGAACTTTCGGAAGAATCAACAGAAGCTTGCAAATTGATTAGCACTTCCAATTTCTATGACTTTTATGCAGTTTTTGCCTTTGCTTCTTTGTATAGTTGATCCACAATATCCTGCAAACATTAACATATAACACTATTAAGTGACTTTGATACAAATATTCGCTAAATCTAGTTGTTAATATCATATATAGTCATTGATAACTTCATTCACAAAACCATTTTTTGATGTTGAACTTTATCTACTATAGCAGTAAAGTCACTGAACTTTAGCAACTCTAACAACAAAACATACTTGAGTTGAGCTTGTAATACCTTGTAATAGTTGAGCAGTTGTGGTCTTTTGAGTTTGAATGTAGGGGTAACTAATTCTCTCTCAATGTCAAATGGATTTGGTTCCAAATGAACTGCACGTAACATTTCAAAGCCTCGAAGCTGTGGAAGTATTTTCTATATCAGAATAAGAAAAAGAAAAAAGAGGATTTGAAATTTGAAAAGTTACATACTTGGTGTTTCCTAGCAGTGCTGTTGAGTTCATCCAATATGTACTTTCTTGCCTTTGTGTTATTACATAGAGATGAAAAATCTCCGGTTTCTTGATTATTCGAGGCCCACTCTTCAATTGCCTTTCTTTCTGGAACTACCACAGCCACTAGGAAGGATTCAAAACTGTTCCCATATATCCAAATCTGTGAACCAGGTGATGAGTTCGTATGAGTATAAAACATACATAATCCATGTCGAGAAAACCTAAATAGCATTAAGGAAACAGGGTAAACAGGGAAGATAGACCACCCTGAAGTTGAAATGTTTAGGCTTACTGATGTAACAAGAGGGCATCTGGAGTATACGCCTTCAATGTTTTCTACAGCTACATACTCCCCTTGGGACAGCTTGAATATATTCTTTTTCCGGTCAATGATTTTCATTGCTCCGTCTGGTTGCCACTCACCAATGTCACCTGAATTTTTTTCTCATGCTCAGAGTTATTACAAATCAACGTCATTCATATAGCAGAAAGAAGTTTCTTACCTGTATGAAACCATCCATCCACAAGTACAGATTTTGTAAGATCTTCTCGTTTATGGTACCCCGAAAACAAGGTTTTTCCCCTCAGACAAATTTCTCCACGAGGCACGCTTGCAAGAGCATCATATCCCATTTCTGGCACTGACTCAAGTCTTGCCTCAATTGTAGTCATTGGAACACCAACAGTTCCTGTCATGGAGTGTACATTGGCTATGGATGTGAGACATCCTCCACAACTTTCAGTAAGCCCTAACAATGAAGAATAATATGTCAAAATAAGCAGATAAAAAGGTGATAAAGAAGTAACAATAGTGAAGAAGAAATTCAATACCATATCCTTGTGATAAAGAACAGCAACATGTTACCCTTAGAAATTCTTCAACGTGCTTGGGCAAAGGAGCAGCTCCAGAAAGCATCAGACGTACTCGTCCACCAAATGCTAGTTTGATCTGGAAAGAAAAGTATATGCACATACGGTTAACCAAACTACACATTGACCAGGTGAATGCTGGGGATCAGATAGCTAACCTTATCAAAAACAAGCCTGTCAAAGCGCGGAGCTGCTTCATCTTGTCTCAATCCTTTCTCCATATTCCTTAATTTGCTGCAAAATATATAATGCTTAATATATGATGGCAATGAAGGGAACCAAATGCAAATGACAGGACGTACTAGTTGTATGCAAACTGAAAAAGCAGCTTCTTCAATGTACCTCCAGCTTCGATTTTATCCATCACCCCTGAGTTGCCCACACCAAAAAAAGAAAACAAAAATTAACCGAAATGA